GAATTTTTCTTCAAATGTTTGGCGTGTTCTGTTCCTGAAAGATTTACTAATATTCTGGAGATTTTTTTCAAGTTCTTCGGCCTTTTCCTTAGGGAAATTTTGTTTCTTATTTGCTGCTAAAAAATGGCGTCTGATTCAGTCAATGACTTTGATGGAACTAAATGAAAACGTGATAAATTAATGTCCGATATTTACAGGCTCCCGCTAGACGGCGTACTCGAGCGTTGCGATCGCGAATTGAATCGTTAACAAAATAAAATGTATATTTATCACTGAAAACTTATTAATCGGAGTATTAGGTAGCAATAGTTTATTAATTAAAATATTATCGAATCTCTAACGAAATAAAAAGTATACTTATCACGGAAAACTTATTACTAGGAAAAATAGGTAGTAGCAATTTATTAGTGAGAATCGAATCGTTAACAAAACAAGAAATATACTTATCACTAAAAATTTATTGCTTGGAGAAATACAGTGAAAACTCCACATCCCTTTTTCCTCATCAATTTTGGTTAAATTTATTTACAGATTGTATAGTATTAAGAAAAAAAGACTTGCTTTATTAAAAAGGTAAGTCATGCAGAAATAAGACATACTATACTCCGATTAAGTAAGCTCGCTCACCCGTTCTTTGTGAAAATAGCAAATATTAGCATTGAAGTATGTATGAGTATTTTTTTAACGCTACAGTGAAAACTTGTGGTACTATAACTGAAAAAATTTAGAAAAGTGCATTTTGATAAATTAGGGATAATTTGAATGTTAAATTAAACGTTCTTTTTTTACAGAGAATACCAATTTAAAAATAAATAAGTAAAAGGTATGGAATTAAAACTAAATCATAAAATCGAATGAACTATTTACAAATTATTATTATTACTATTTATATTGTTAAAGTTTTTATATATTGAATTTTAGCAATAATTTAAAATCTTTGTCAGACATTAAACCACGCAGACGACCGTAAGTATAAGTTCGAGTATAGTATTTAGTACACTTAGGCAACATAAGTATTAAAATTATTTCCTTCTCTATTCTGAAATCTCAATACTTCATTATCTCAATACTTATCTCAATACTTCATTATCTCAATACTTCATTACGTGCTGTGCTACTTTCTCACGCACCTCTCGAACCATAGCTTGACTATAGTATAATATATACAAACTATTGCTAGAAAAGGACATGCTCCATCACCATTAATTTGTATGTACAGTATGCAGTGTGGTGTAACTACTACTATAAATATTAAATACCAATTCACTAGTATATAAGACATGTTAACTTGATTCTATCTGGAGGTACCTTTTGATAGATGAAGGTTGACATTGTCGATAAATAAATCACCTCAGCGGCACCATAACACTGTTTATTGTTTAAAATTTCGTCAGCCATTTATAAAAGGTTAAAAATAATCCTTATTGATTTCTTAATATCTAATTTTTTTTTTATAAAAATACAAAATTAATCTAAATAAATATACTAATAAGTATAAACTTTTAAACACTATTTAAAATACAGTCCAACCTCGATTTCACAAATTTTTCGATATCTCGAAGGAAAAAAAATTTCCTTCAAATTTCCTATTCACTCAATGTTTAAAAAAACTTGATTTCTCGAATTTTTTTTTTTCTAATCCCTCGATAACTTGAATTTTTTTCCATAAGTAGTGCAGATTTTTTTTCTGAATATAAAATAAAAAAATATTCCCCCCAAAAAATTTTAAGAATAGAAAACCAATTCTCATAATCATAATCAATTCTCATAATCAATTCTCATAATCATAACCAATTCTCAAACAAACACTTTCTGCAGTGGACACTGTAAGGAGATTTATTGAGAGGCACACAAATATGTCAGAGGAGACATTTAAAGCTATAGTCCACTTAGAAAATGTTATAGACAAATTTTCCTACACATCTTTAAAGCAAACAGCAATTGAATCTTTTTAAGTGTAAAAAGTGTTTTTAGAATAAATATGGAATAGTAAATAAGGTAAGTAAAGAGCATCTTTCTTTATCCTACCATCGATAACATGCGATTTTCGATAATTCGAATTTTCGGTATCTCGAATTTTTTCTCCTCTCCCTTCAAGTTCGAGGTATCGAGGTTTGACTGTATTACTTAAAACAACCTGATAAAATCAGTAATAACTATAGTGTTGCCAATAGTAATAACTATAGTGTTGCCACATAAGAGAAATATGTATATAAATTAAGCATCTATCTCATCTCTATACGTTGTAAATATGATTAAGTTTTTCATTTAGAATTAAAATTTAGAATATTGATTTGTGAATACTCCGGGTCTATTTAATCGATTTGTTTCGTATTTTATGAGAATCATGCAGTTAATTTAAAAGAGTAAAATAATTCTTTCAGGTACATTATGAGAAAAATGCCTCACCTTAATACTTGATGCTTCACTTGCTTCCTTTTCACTCAAAATGTAACCTCTGCAGGGCTTTAGTTGAGGTGAACAAAACGACAGCTTATGCAAGAGAGCAAAAAACTCGTCCGGCAAATCAGGGCTGTACTTAATATAATCAATCAGAAATTGGGTAGCCTCCTCACATGTACCGGAAACAAGTGCAAGTCTTGGAATTTTCGAGCTCGTTAAATAATTGTTTGGATATCTTTTGGTATTTTGTCTTAAAACAGTTTGTAGTAGTGTTCCACCAATTCCAAAAGAGCTTACTGTAACATATGGACTTATAAGTGGTGTGATTTCCGATACTATTTTCATAGAGCCATTCATTAGTCCTTTTGAACCGGTATTTGGATTTCTGAAATTATAATTTGGAGCAATGTTTCCATTTTCCATTGCTAGTAATGCTTTTATGATTCCACTTAGACCTGTAAGAATTTATTGTTTAACAAAATTTTTAGCAAAAAATATTCTAGATAAAACGATTTATACTAAAATAAAATAAATTTAGAGTCTACTAATAACAAGCTAATTTATGAATCTTGACAATATTTTTTTTTGTCAATAGATATGATGACACTTGTGAGAATGTATCAATAATCAATCAGTTACAAGTTACAACTGATTGAAAAAGGTTTTATTTTAAAGAAAAATTGTGAAAACAAAACAACTGCTATTAACAACCTTAACATTACGACAATTGGGTACTTGCAAACGACACATTACGACAATAGGGTACTTACGAGAAGAAGAATACGTGATTATACTAACCATTTGATTTAAATATATTTTATTGGATGCCTATAAACGACGTCATGCATGTTTGTCCAACCTGATTGGTTTCTGAATCAACGAATGCCACGATGCCTAGGATGCGTCGCTTGCAGGTATCCAATCGACTGAATAATAATACGATTCAGATATGTATCTCTATACTTTTGATTTCTCGCAAGTGAGGCTGAGTCCACAGTGAGCACAGATGACAGCGTCAGAGCGACTATAGCGCAGATTTTCAAGCATCTACGTCAATGTATTCTGCGCTAGCGAAGTGGACACGTGTTGGTAAGTAGAGAGCATGAACCTCAAATATTTTTATAAACGTTTTTATGTTCCGGGTGATTCAGAATCATTTTCAAGAATTCAATACGTAAGTCAGGAATATGTCAAAGATCGAGAATCATCTGGGAATATATAGTCGCAATCGCAATCTAGAAGAGCAAGAATGTATTTGCAACTGGAGAGAAAGCCAACTGCAACTTTAAAACCTGTTTTAACACCTTTTTTTTTTTAAAAAAAAGTGAGGTTCAAACTATTTTTGTGTAATATATATTCTTGCGATTTGTGATTGCATAGCTTCTTTCAATTTCTAACTTTTTGGGTATCTGCATCGCGTTTGTGATCATATGTTCCTAAATGCATTTTGTTTATTATCATGTTCCTACAAGTAGACCTACAAATAGATTTTGGAATGACAGTTACCCTGAGTATTGATTGGTGAAAAACTTTCCTCCATTCTCTCTATAGTTCTTTATGAGGTTTAAAGAGAACATGCTCAATTATGCAGACTTAAATCCTATTTAGTTCCAAAATACTTTTATGCCTAAAATTAATGATGAAATATTAAAATTAAAAAGAATTTGAAAAAAAAAAAGAATTTAAAAGCGTCTTAATTTTAAATTAATGTAAAGCTAAATTGATAAATTTATTTTCAAATCATCATTTGATGTAGAGTCTGTTTTTTGAAACTAAGCAAATTTTGGTATCTTGTCTAAGAGTCGTGAGTTTGATCCTGCTAGTCAATAAAATAATCTGCATGCCCACTCAGCAAATCGCACAATAAATCTGTGAGCTGAAAGTACTATCATCGGTTTCAGTGTGAAAGTTTAAAGATAAAGATATCAGTCTAGTCGCTGACCATGTCATCTAAACGGAGTAAAAATTACATACTTTTTCCACTATAACGGTTAAAAGATAGAGTCGTGGAATACAGGTCTAGGTGTTTGGCCATGATTGGATGATGTCTGTTGGTAGCTCTTGTTAACTTTGTGAAGCCTCTATACTTATGAACCCCTAACATTTTTTATGTATAATTGTGGTTTTTATTTTAGTTAACATGTTCTTTCTAGCATATTTTCTATAAGGGAAAAACTTTCACCATCAAACAAATACAATGCTACCTCATGTTAAAATTTCATTTGTTCCACTGAATTTACAAACCGGCATATTTACACATTGAAAGTAAAAATGGGTGTTTAAAGTTAAACATAACAAATACAATGAAATATAAACAATTACCACAATTATATTTTTTTAACTGTCGTATTTGACATGCATGAGCTACATTTTATTTTAATTTACTGAAACGTCTCAAAGTATTAGCGTATCATGATTCATGTATCGTACTTAAATAAAGGGGAAGTGTTTTCAATAAATAAAAAATTAATTAATAACTAATTAATAAAATTCATAACATGCTTCGAGCTGAGATATTCTTACCTGAGGAAGCTTCAGTGTGCCCAATATTACTCTTGACTGATCCTATGTAAATAGGCTTTTTTCTGGTGCCTGTACAAAAAACACTCTCTATAGCTGCCAGCTCCTTACTATCTCCCACTACTGTACCAGTGCCATGCGCTTCAATGAAATCAATTTGGTCGGGATGCAATCCACTCAACTTCAAGACATGTCTGCTCAAGTTTTCTTCCATCTTATCAGAGGGTACAGCAAATCCTAAAATATATAATTTAATATGCTAGCAATTGCAACAGAGTGCTTTACAGAATGTCCCATAACTGCCTTTATCAAGAGTAGAAGTAAAAGTGGTATCCAGTTTAAATTATGTTTGAACGATACCAGGTAGTCAATTAAAAGAGCTGCAAATGTTTCTAAGTACACATTGCAGATTCATATATTCGTAAATATACAATGATATTTCCAGAAATCAAGAGATAAATATTTTTTTATTCAAAAACAAAATATTATACCAAGTATCTGTCCTATCTCGGCTATGGGACAAAGTAATTTAAGGAAAAGTATTCATAAAAACATAATAAAAACAAGTTTAAAACCAACAAAGAAATAAGTTTGCTCTATTTTTATGTATTATGTGTTGAAAGGTCAGTATTATTGGGTATAAGACCTTTTAAGACAGAAGTGGCAAGACAGTAAGAGTAAGTTATTATCAATGAGTAAAAAGTGGTAGTACTTTTATAACCAGGTTTAAACTAAATAATTTTTTTCTCTTAACCATCACTTCAAGTTTAAAAAGAAATCACAGCTGCTTCATTATAAATATAAATAATGATTGAATGTGGTGTGTCTCTATTTCGAGTCTAAGATATGATTTGAGTTAAAAAGGTAAAGCTACTCAAGAAATGTACGTAAATAAATCCTAAACTAAAAACAATTGAATTTCACAGTAGACTAGTCGTAAGTTACAGTTACTAGTCGATAACTGAAGTCAACCATCACTGGCAGAGGTCAGTGAGCTGCTTAGAGACTACTTTAATCAGATTGCGAAGGGACCGATGGTATCAGTCCTCTTTAAATTGTTCTACTGTATAATGCTCGACTGCGAGCACTCTGTTGGTAGTCTTCGCAGATCGCCTGGCGACCAAAGCAGAGGACCTTCCCTTAAATATAAGAAAAGTACTCATAGCGCTCGACTGATTTACATGAAAGTAAAGCTATAAATATGAATTGCCTAACTTCATTGAAATACAAAGCAAAATATGAACCTTCATTTATATATATTAAATACATATATTGAAGGAAACACAAAGTATATATATGCTATTTATGCATATATATACTTTGCATATATTGAAATATCATAAAAAAGATTATTAAACAAACTTTAGAGGATGTATTGGGGGACGGTCCTTAATTTCTCGGAGCTTGTTCCTTCCAGCTTGGGTGTCTCATTCTTTTACTATGTCTTTTATAAACTCTTCTTCTTTTACTTGCTCCAATTTTATTGTTATTTACTTTTGCACTATTTAATTGGTTTTAAAAGTAATGTTTTTAAATGTTTTACAATATTGTTCTCTTGTAAATTTTGCACGTTTATCTTTTAAATTGCTCTTTTAAATTTTTCTTTTAATTGACACTTTTAATATATTGCTGTTTTAATGTTTATCACCTTACATGATTTTAGCTGTTCTACGCCCGCCATGTTCATGGGCTGTTGCCATGTCTGATGTGTATTTTATGTAATTTGTGTTTGTACTGTTCTCTGGATTTTTTTTTTTGATTTTAATAAACATTTACCCGTATGCCCTAAATAAGGGCGGGTCGGGGTAAATTCTTCCATATGCTATTTATGCAATAATAATTATATTTTACAGGGTGTTTCGTAGTCACCGTCTTTAATACACATTTCTTGAGTCCTTGTCAAAAATGAAAAGAAAAGTTCCCGGATTTGATGTATCTTATTATTTAAATGAAGAAAATAAGAAAAGATACTGTAGATATCTATCAAAGCAACGGAAAGCGGATTGAAAAAATTCAAAACTAGTTTGATTGCGTGTTGAGACCTGTAAGTCTTTCTACTAATCCTTTCTTTCTCTGTTTTCTCATGCAATTTTCTACAGTTCCAACTTCTTCAGTAGAGATTTGTTTGATTTTATTATCAGTCTTTGTTTTCCTCCTCGCTTGAATTCACAATCCCTGTATACATATTTGTTTGTTTTTTTTTCGCTCTAAAAAAGGGATTTAAAAAAACACCACATGAAAGATTTTAGTTATGGAACACCCTGAATTTTAAAGGAACGTAAATAATTTTATTATATCTATGAATTAATTCAAATTTCCCAACAGTATAATATAGCATATCCCCAACTTGAATTTTAAAATACCAAAAAGTATGATATATATGGGTGATTCTCACGAAACATGACAATTCGGACCAAAAAATTTCTTCACATTTTAAGTCTTCAAAATAATCTAAAATTTTTTTTGTTTACTTCTTTAACTACACTTACTAATATCTTACAGACAGCAGTGTAGTTTATTGACATTTGCTCGAGAAAAAAAAATAGAAATTCACCAAATCTTGAATGCCAGGAAAATGACATATTACCTTAGAAGTTTAAAAAACAGTCATTTTAAGTTAATAGTAAGTAACTCAACTTAAGCCTTTATGTTAGATGGACCATAAATTGCTTAAATTAATTCTTTTTATCCACTGTAGAAAGAAACAAAAAAATTTTTGTTGCTGATATGTACAGAATAAAATTGTGTATAATAATCAATCATTAAATAAATAAATAACTTTGATTACATCCAAGCATATTACAATCATACATAAACTTGGTATTAGGTTAATATTTGCTTTCCCTCTTTACAGTATTAGCAGTTAAAAAGAATTTCTGGTAACACTTCAATGTCCTGGCATTCATAAGCCAGGAAAATGACAGCCAGGATAATGACAAATTCGCCATTTTATAGCATATAACTTTACTTTAATTTAATATTTTGGCCGAAGACGTTTATATTCTGCAGAAAACAACAGTATTTCTTAAAATAACTCAGATAAATCTATGTAGTTTTTGTTATTAATGATTTCAAGAAGCCAGGAAAATGACAGCATAAAAACCTACTCACCTTGAAAAATTTTTTGAAATAGATTTTGAGCCAGAAAATTGGTTCTTTATTCATGCAACAAGACATGTTCAGATAGGAGGGTATCTAATCAATCTATTAACATAAGATATTGATTCCTGGCGCTATCTATTTTGGTTATAAATCACTCAATAAAAGTAGCCAGGATTTTCATGGGACAAACAAATTATTGACAGAAAAAATTATTTTAAACGAAGTTTTAGTAAACAATACTATATTCTAGAAATCCTTACATAGAATAAGATAAAAAAAAATTAAATTTTGAAAAATGTATGGGAAGTTTTGAAGCTAGTTATTATTGGAAATATTGTTTGGGACATGCCAGGAAAATGACACTTTGATATTCAATTTAATTTTTTAAGTATACAAAACAGTCAATGCTAGTGCAAAGTCATTTTAAAATGCTAATAGCAATGCTATTTATTAATTTTTTTTTAAAAAAACGTTCTTCTAGTATTATAGTATTAGATCTTGGAGCAAGGGACAGTGAATTGTCATGTTTCGTGAGAATCACCCATATACCAACAACATACTTATTATTCCTATCTGAAACATTAATCTGTGACCCCTTATTCATCCGAGTTTGCTTTCCTCTAAAAAAGGATTCTAAAATATAGCACACAAAAGGTGGTTATTCTGGAACACGCAGAATAAAAGAAAAGTAAATAATTTTATTATATATATACATTAATTTAAATTTCCTCGCTGTGCCCTATAAACATACCTGAAACCAACTAAGATTTCAAAATACCAAAATCATGCCACATATACCAACAACATATTATGCATTTATTAGAATATTCTGCTTGTCACTTCATAAATTTCATTTGAAATGCATCTATTTATTGTTACCTTCTTTAACAAATCCAGATGTAAAGGATCCTACAGATAGAACAGATGCATAAGCTCGTCTAGCCGTAGAAGCTTTCTGCAAAAAGATAGCAACTACTCCTTCACTTCTCACGGTTCCATCAGCTAAATAAATAATAACATACTTCGATTCGATGTTTTATTATGTAAGAAAAAAAACATTTTTGCATTCCATCAGTTAACTTCTTGTTTCGGACATAGCTTAAAACACGCGTTAAAGAAAACCGATATACACTGCGTGACAATTGCTAAGGTACAGTTGCATTTTTCTCAATAATTAATTATAGGGATTGATTGAAGAAATGAAACTAGGTGCATATTTATTGGAAATAATGTGCATTTACTATATTGTAAAACGGTACAAATATTGTCACATCAAAAAATGAGAGAATTAAACATAAAAAATATGCTTAGATGATTTCCAAACAGCCACGAAAAATGGGTCTTCCTGCCAGAATGAAACAGGTGTGAGTATCTCAGCAAGATCTACTATTACCTCAGACACTAACACATGTTTTCATCTGTTACTTATGTTGTTCACTAAACTATCGGTGTGTCCTTGGGGATATTGTCTCCCTCCTCTCTCAAGACAATTGTCAGCTCTTATACAGTTCGGGGAGGACGTGTTCTTTGAGAAACACGTCTGCCGAGAGCATCCCAGACAGGCTCTATAGGCTTCAGGTTCGGAGAGTACGCAGGCCATTGCTTACGAATAATACTTTACCTTCACTTTCTAGGGTGTCTAATGGCTCTGTCACAGTGAAACGGGGTTCGCCGTAGAACATCACTCTAGGCTTCTGTTGGTCACCCCTAAATAATACGTTCCTTACACCAGCGTAATGTTTCTCGACGATGACGTGCTTGATGCGAAATGCATCGAACATGCTTCCCTGCATACAAACCAACTTGATTTAATCGTCATGAATTTGTACTTGCAGAAACTTCTGTACCGGTAGTGGTTGCAAGGTCAGAACCTATCTTACTAGTTGTGACATTTCTGCTCCCTTTTTACCACTGGGGTCACCATATCGATCCTCTTCAGGTGTGGAGTTCCTACTGCAGTTACCGAGATGATTTCACTAAGCATTTCCAGCTCTGCGACCTTTTTCAATCCCGAGATGGTACTTTTTTGCCCTCCCATTATTTTGGCCACGGTGGTGGCATTTTAACCTGTTTCCAGTAGTCCAACTGCTTGCCCACGATCGTAAGCACTCAAATGATGTCTTGCTGATATTTTGCACTTAATTATTGCAACACTACTTTCATAGAAATAAGTTCAACCTACGGAGCAATATTGGTTAAACACCTAACATCATAAGTTTTCGAAAGAATGAAGAGCTTGTACGCACTGCCAATTATACAGATAACGGATCTCGATCTACCACGCTCCCTGCGTTTAATTTTACGGTTATTTGTGGGCTGTCCGGAACGCTAGTTTGCATAAATCCGTTGTTCCTTAGCGATTGTCAAGCAGAGTAATAGTATCGATAAAAGATATATATATATATATATATATATATATATATATATATA